GAGACCTATGGGAGAGCTGGAGGGTACAAAACACATCGATTGCGCGTCTCTCACTCGCCCTTAGTCTCTACAATACACATCGCTTCTGCGTCTCCGACGGCCACATAGTCTCTACTATACACATCGATTCCGCGTCTCTGACGGCCACATAGTTCTCTACTATACACCATTCCATGTTCCGCTCTCCTGCCGGCCACATAGTCTCTACAATACACGTCGATTCCGCGTCTCTCACGGCCACATAGTCTCTACTCCCTGCCGCTGCAAGCGCTAGCAAAACGCTGGTGCCGCTGGAGAAACGCTCGAGAAACGCTGGTGAAGCTAGATCGATAGCTATGCTTCCCGTGCCCTCGCTACGCCGGCAACGAGCACTAGAGTGTTTCACGTGATCTTACGCGCTATGGCCTTTTCATTTATTTTTTCTACTTTCTCCTATGTCACGCCCAATATACCAGATTGACACTTAAATTTTTCTCCTTTGATATAACGAAACTGTGCTAAAAATTAAAACTTGCTTCAGTAATATAGAAATATTCAGGGCACTGAGTGAGAGGCTCTTCAACCCCTACCAATTTTTCGGTAATGCAGGATCCTGGCCACGAGGCTTTCCTCTGGAATACTTACAGTATTTGCAAAGCAGTCCGATCGGCCCCTTAATGAAACCGACTGATCTGCCAGTTGCTGGACTATTTCGAATGTATTCTTAGATCAATGTCTTCCACGAGCTATTCAGAATCATACCAATGATCGGGACCGAATTCTGTCTATGTCATAAAATGCGTACAGCTGCGGTACAGCAAGGTCTCGTACACAAGGATCCTGACGTCGATGCTATATTCAGGTACGCACAAATCAACATTGCCGTTGGGTGCAGGGCACACCATCGTTGTGGAAATCGCAACGAGGAAGGTGGGGGAGGGGAGGGGGTCGTATTTAACCGCGAGGGAGGGTCGTAGATTAACCTTCGAAGAGGAGTCGTGTTCAGCAAGAATTTAACACAACGCGATGGCGGCACTGCCCAAGCCCTCGCTCCAATCCATACCCCCGTCCTCGCCCTATCGTTTACAGGGATCGTGACTGTATAGATCGAAATTCGTACAGAAAAAAGTGTTCTTTTTTTGAAAAATCAAGTACTTCATCTAATAAGACTTCATAGAAGCGACCAACAAGAAGCTATTTCAGGCTGCTACATGCCGACAAAAGAAGCGGTCTTAACGAGAAATTCAGCAGGCACGCGCCGCCGATAGTGCTTGAAGCGGGTCAGTTATTTTTTATGAGTGACTCTTCAGGTAATGCAGAATTTCCGAGTAGACACACAAACCAACAGGCAAACAAAAAGGCAATTAAGGCTTCTACTCACTCTGATGATTAGGAGCACTACCATTTTGGAGCTTAACCAGAGTCGCCATGTTCTGCCAGTGTGAGACCTGCTAGCAAGCATGAACCAGCGGAAGCGCAAATCGTCTCTCCCAAGCGAACAAAACTTAAAAATGTGATGAAAGTATGGCTCCCCTCTCTATAACTAGTTCAGGCACATACGCACCATGGAACTCGCAGAACACTTTGTTTCATAAGAAAGCCTTTTTCACTCTTTTCTTGCCTACTACAGTGACTTTTCGGTAGGTTTGCCGCGTATACCTTTCCTAGCTATAAATACTAATTATCAGTTAAGTACGACGGACATATGGCGCTCCTATATAGCACCAGAAGCTTCTGCATATGATCGGAGAGACAGTGGCGTTCTATCCACCCAATGCTGTGCAATATAGAAATGCTCATGATTACTTGGCCGATTTCGAGGACGAAAGGTATACTTCTCTTCTGGAAACGCTAGGCGCAGCCTTCTGCAGAACAAACCCAATCCTTTTAGTGCTAAGTTGATGTGATATCCGCTTTGAAGACAAATTATACACTTACCCCTCCCCTGCATCCTGGTGATCGCCCTATGCGACGTGAATGGGTCCGCAGTCCGTGTCAGTTCCCCGGCTAACAAATCCACGGGAACGCGGCTAAAGGGTAGTGGTACCAGAGTGCAGCCTCCATACTCCGCCCACATATCCTCGAGGTACGCACTGACGTCGATATCAAGGTCCCGCAGAGAAACACGTCTTTTGGTGCATCGGTCAAAACTAGGTTTTTTTCAGTAGGCCGTAGCAATAACAAAGAGTCGAAAGCTATTCTGATAAAATTTATAATAAAATCTACCCATCAAGAATACTTCAAATCTAATGGCGCTCTATTTTCATAAGAAACCCATAGTTTTTAGCACCAAGACGCTCAAAAACTTAATTCTTCGGTACAGCGACTACACAAAAAGTGTTGAATGCTTCGAAGTAAATGAGGAAACCTACGAAAAATGTAGGACAACAGCCGCTCTTTTGGAAAGCGGCATAAGACAAGTAATAGAAGGTAGAAAGAACCTACAAAATTTGTATAATGAAGTTAGAGATGAATATAAGAACTGCAGTAATAAGTCCGAGAAAAAGGATTTAGTTGCAGAAATTGAACAAACCCAGTAATAGCGGAAGCGAATGATTTAATAATCACGCTAACGACAAGACTTGATGAATCAAAGTGTTCACAAGATAGAATAGCCAGAAAACTTGGCTACAGCTCAAATAACGCTATCAGGGGTGGGATAATGTCTTTTGATGACCCCCCTCGTTGAAAAGTGGGCAGGGCTTATTCAGTGGGGGCGGAAGCTCTCACAGTGGGACGGGCTTCAGCAGCCATAAAGTGCAAAATTATTGAAGACACACACCCCCCCCCCACCATCGAATTCGCGAAAAGCAGTGGGCGTGGTCAGCTTAGAGTGGCAAAAACCCGTTTAGACTGACATGGGCGTCGGAGTCGGGCAGTGTGTTGAATCGACGGCTGGCCTCTCTCCCACGTCAAACCGGTTAGGTGGAAGCACGCAAAAGCAGCCAGCTTATGAACAAGATTTGAGAATCTATGTCCGCGCTGACAAGTGGGCGTGGCCGTCGGGGCGGGGCTCGCAGTGATGTCTGGCGTGATCTGGTTGATGAGTTGCCCGCCCTAATAAGTGTGGTTCTTGATGAAGAGTGAGGGTGAATTTGGTTTGAAAAAGGACGAATTTGGTTTGAAAAAGGACGAATTTGGTTTGAAAAAGGACGAATTTGGTATTGAAGACTGGGGAATTTAAAGTAATGGTATACTATGCTTGAGTAGGTCAAGCGCGCAGAAGCAATAATAATCTATATAATACCTTTATTATGTATATGAGATGAACCTACGTCTTGATTGCGACGGTAGTTGTGCGAGGAAGGGCGAGTAAATGGACGTCTTACTCGGGACGTTGAACGGGAGGTAGAAGCAGCTAGTGTATA